AGATGGAGCCCCCTCCTCATATATGGGGTCTATTGGAAAACTGTTGGCTGGCACAGTATAGGTCGAACACATCTACATTCCTTCCAAATTTCATGTTGATCGGTGCAGCCGTTTCCGTGATATGATTCACCAAAAATCACTGAAAATAAATAAAATAAAATAAAAAAGAAATAAACAGTACGAAAATAATATGAACCCCGCTTCACGAGCAGTGGTCATAATTATTGATATTAACTGATATAAAATGCTTATATCGCAATATATTTTTCAGCCACATTGTTCAGCCCTATGTATTAAATATTATGTTTATCAGTTCACATTATAATTTTAACCATCCTAATGTGCTTTTCAGATTGACACATTTTGTAGAAATATAAATTTATTAAATATAACACAATAAAATAAAATAAAAATTGTTTTGAACGCTACCCAACCCTCATTAATACATTTGTGTCTCCAAGTCATTACATTTATTTCTCACTTTTCTACATTATTCCTGTTGTTTTTTACTGTGTTACATTCAATCAGAGTTTTCAGTTTTTCTTAAAAGATTCTAAACTCCAGTTCACGTTTAAAGCCTTAACTCCTTTACATCCAGCATTTACAGAAAATATTACTTTAACATCCTATACATTTAATGTTTCTAGTCTGCTCTGACTTCTTCACATGGGGCCATATAAACAGATCAGAAGACAGAAACAGGATATTAGACTGATTCATCTCACCTCTGCCTGTTCAACCTGCATCAAATTATGTGAAAAGTGGACACTTTCCAAAAAAAAAAGAGGTAATCTGGGGATTGTCTCTGCTTGCAGAAACCTATCACTGTTCCGTGAGTAATCCTTACTCAGGAAACACACCACAACAATCTAACAATAGCACATAGCAACACATAGTTCTACCTTTCAAAAATGCCCAATAAGAGCCACAGTTTCAGAAACCCACCCCCAACCCCATACATAGCAAGGAATAAAGAGTATGAGAACAACAGAATCAATTACGTAGCTTGTGTATATTAAAACTGTTTGTCAGTTAATTGTGAAATAGTTTAAAAAAAAATCTAACACAAACCTCAGCTTCAAGTTTCTCTGAAAATGGATGAATGCCATTCACTAGATCACAACCCATGATATGAAGGAGAAATCTGCCAGAACTTTGAAAGTCTAGACTCTTGGCTAGGTATTCAGTGGCAAACTAAAAACAACATGGGTTCACCATTACACGACAGAATGTGAGAGCCAGTGATAGGTCTTGGGAGTGTTTTGAGCAAGAACAAAACTTCCATAATAAGGTCATAGTGTCAGCATAGCCACAATGTGGGGCCTGAACACAATATTGTGGTTTGGTATTTTATAGGGCTTGAAACAGGACTGACCATACTGGCCTTACGCCTTATGCCTTAAGCTACGACCATATCAAATGGTCTGTCTCCATTCATGGGTTAGAAAACCCAGAAAACGAAGGCTGCATCTGAGTATCCTACGCGGCCAACATTATCCCAGACTTCCTTGCTCCGTCAGCAAATTAAACAGGAAAATAAAGACAGCTGAGGTTTTTTTTTTTTGTTACATTTACAGAAGAGTGTTTTTGGGGAGCTTTACGACAGAGTTTGGGAATTTATCACGGACCAAAGAATTTGTTTTTAAATGTAAGTTTAGCAACTTAGATGATGAAATCTTTGCTGCAATGAGATGTACTGATACTGAACCTAACCCAAATTAGGGCTGCATGATATCAGGAAGACCTGCGATGTGCGATAACAATTGCTTAAAACTGCAATGATGATATGACTTACAATAAATGAACAAATATTTAAGCATGTAGCGTTGATGTCTTTCTGCTCTGGGTTCAAACATATGTCTTCTGTAGACTAGACCGTCTCATTTCACAGCCTATTATGCAGCCTATCCGGCCTACGTGGGGTGTGAACAATGTAGGTCGCAGTCTCCATGAATTGAGACACATCTAACATCATGGAAACAACATTGCATTGTGCAAACACGACACTCTTAGTGGTATTATCATTTTAGCATGGTGTGATTTATAAGCTGCGTCTTGTTGTAGTCTGAGTTGTGGCATGGCAGGGTGCAGGGTGTGGTGCAAATGTGGGAGTTCACCGATCACCATTCTTTAAAAAGCCTGACAATTCCAGTTTTGGCAAATACAATTTTTTTTTGTAACTGACACTGTCACAATACACCTTCAATGTTCCAATCTTATTTTATTAAAAAAACATTGAATAATACCCTTGATACAATACAAACTTGTTTTAACTGGACAACAGTCCTCTCACAGAAGAGTAAAATGGAATAGTGGCTGATTTTCTGATGAGATTGGTGACTAAATTTGGCTTCTCATGTATGAATCGACTGATCGATCATCCAAGATTAGTCAGGGTGCACCCCTAGTGGGCATACATAGTAGTACAGTAGTCTTGTTGCAGGAATGTGCTCCTCACAGAGCATGGTGTGGGAGAGGAGGAACGTGCAAAGCAGCAGGAAAAACAGATATTTCAAGTACTAAAAGTCTAACAGCATTACAACTGCAATCACACTTGAGGAGGTTTTGCAAATTTGTTGCAACCCAGCTACATTAAAATAGGTTGTGGCGCACATAGTGAAGTTGTCATCCAGTGAAGGGGGTCTTGGTGAGCTAAACTCTCTAATACAGGGGCTGAAGAGGAGATGAATGCAGATGTATTAGAGGTGTGTAGGGGAGGAGCTTTGATGGGGTGGTGTTTCATAAACCACATTCTGTACTGCAGGATCCCAGCTGTTTGGGTGGAGCTATTCAAGGCTGTATTAAAAAAAATCTATATGAGATGGGAAGACATCCAAACAGATGGCTTTCCTCACTCTTAGCTGGCTCATTTTCATTCACATCTGCTTCTCGAGTTAAATATTTTGGGGAAAATATCAGACTTTCGTCTGTCTTTCACTGCGTGTACATGATACGCTGTAAGTCTGGGGCCACATCTTCCAGTCAGACGTTACTCCAGGAGCCTGAACCTACCCTATGAGCTTCACTTACACCTGTCACACCACAGCTCTCACACACCACATTGCTAAATTACTACCAAACGACACATCCCAGGCTCATTGAACAAACTCACATCATAGCATTTCAAGATTAAATTTGAAATCATCTCTCAGAGCTTTAAAACAAAAAAAAGTTAAAGGACTTGCCAATAAATAACTCTCTAAGGACCGTGCGTGCATAAATGTGCTGTAATGATGAAGGAGCGATGGAGGAGGGGACTGATCCGTGCTAATCTTAGCATGCCATCTAGTGGTGGAAGACGTCGCAATAAAGAGACAGAAGCTTGAGGGAATTCTGACAAATTGACAAACATCACATGACAATGAAATGTAATTAGACGTAGAATATTGCCTTGTGTATTTTAACACAATAAAAACAAATTAACACCCAGGCAAGAGCAAAAACCTGTGTGGGCTCTGTTAAAAAAAAGTCCCTTCTGAAAGTCTTGCTGATGTTAATTTAATAGGTCCTTGTTTTCAGAGGAGAGTAAAGTCATTTTCCACAGCACAAATTTATTCACCCCAATCTGAACCTCATTGATTTCATGCTCTATTCAGCTGGAACGCAAAAGATGCCGACTCAGCAGAGAGCTTGACAGTTTCTTTTTAAGGAACGCGAACGGCACAATGAAGATTAATGCGGTGCAGAAGTAAAAAGAACTGAATGCCTATTAGTCAATAGTTTTTAATAAAACTTAGGGGGCTCGATGAGGTATGCTGAGTAAAATTAGCTGCAGCCAATAAAAACTCTTGCAGGTACAGTCAGACGCAGGACGGCTGCTTAATAAACCAATCACACTTTCACATTAGACGTAAGTGAATACTTACCCATCATCAGCTAATGTGATATCAAATAGGTCCTCTGAAGGTTTTTTTAATGAACACATGGCATAGAAAGGGATCAGTTAGTGGGCTAGCAAGGGGGTGGGGGCACCTTACCGTACCACGCAAACAAACTTATCTTGACATGGTTTTTTTGGGTGCTGAAGAGAAGGGCAGATAGCAGAGGAGGCCCAGGGAAAGTGAATTACCTTCTTGACACACGTCAAAGCCAATCACTATCAAGCATCCTTTGCTGTTCCCATGCCCCAAATCCCTGCCGCCACCGTTGTGTTTCATCTGCCAGCGTTAGTATGCACACAGGCCGCGCACCAGCCTCCAAATGTATTCATTTATTCACAGCCCCTCGGAGAAATCACAGTGTCTTGTTGTCCTTTTTTTTCCCCCTTTCTTTTTTCTTCTTCATCCTCGGCTGTCCAGATGGAATTTGCGTGAATAACATCAGTTTAGTGAGGCAGAAAATAAGTACAGGCTAGCACAGCAGAGGGGACTAGATTACGCCCCCTCCCCGACCAACAGCACTCCGCAAAAAAATAATAATAAAAAAGACAAGTGTCACCTTCCTCCACTTTTCCAGTTCTATTGAAACTTGGCAGACGGGGAGACAAACAGTTGTTTTGTTTCATCAGGTGCAATTAAACCGAGGATCATGAGTTAAAAAGATACATGAGGTTTTTTTTATTATTATTAGAAAAAGGTGAGCACTGGAGCAGGGTGTTTCTTCTCCTTTTGTTTCCCATTTACAACAACTAATTGCATTATTCTTCTTTCATATGTTCCTTTAAAAAGAAGCAAGCACAGTCTTGAAAAAGCAATTGACTGGAATGAAAATGAAGGGGAGGAAAAAGAATCGCAAATCAATACTTCCAACTTCAATACAGCCCGAGAGAAATTAAAATGACTTCACTCACAAAAGCAGAAAGACTTAATTTACATCCTACAATAAAAAAATAAATAAATCAGTGCACAGCTTTCAAGTGGCTGAACAACTGTCTTCAGTACAAATTTAATTTCAACTTTAGAAATACCTAAACCGAGACGTTCCCAAAGTCAGACAGGATCTATGTTGGGTTTAAATCAATCATTAGTGGATCACAGACAGAAAAAGGGAATAAAGCCTACCTCTCTGAGAACTGTACTGAAATATCCTCTGTAGAGGCCTCGAACACCCTGTAATAAACAAAATAAACACATTTCATTGTATGCAGTATTATTTGGTTTAAAGAAAACATCAAGATTTGTTTCATAAAAACCAATTGGCCACACAAAGGTTCCCCTGACCAGACTAAACAGCTCTGACCAGTCGTGGTGGACATGCCACCTTCTGTTTTATTTGTGACAGATCCTGTGGGTCCTGCTGGCATCAATAGATCTGACTTTAGAGCATTAAGATACACCACCTGGTTGGTATCTAAGGAGGTAAAAGCTAGGTGTGTTTCTCACAGTGTTTCCAGGCTGGTTTTAGCTGTGAGGTGGGGTCACTGGGGAGTCATTAGAGGATGTGCAGCAATGATTCAGTGAAGTACCATCCACTCAAATGTCAAAATGAAGGTTTTCTCAACAGAACGTTGCAGTGTTTTATGTTAAGTCACAACTACAAATGGTTCCGTAAAAATATACTTCAACTAATCATAGTTCTGGGTTTATGTTTATTCAATCGGCAAATCCAAATACCAGCTGAGAGCTTGAAAAAGATAAAACGACCCTGCTACTCCCTCCACTACCTACCTGTTGGAACATGACTGGATTGTAGCAAATCTGGAAAACCTCCTTCAGTGCGAAGGCAATCTTAAAGCTATGGCTCTCTCAAACTCAGTACTCGACAAATAAGTTTATTTCCTGCTCAGTACATCAAGTTCCTACAAAGACCAGTTGGTGTGGTTTCTGGGTAACTCGGGACATTCATTGCACCTCCCACAAAGATCCTACCTTGTATCTTCCACGACTACACCATAAGCTGGGACCTTTCCTAGAATAAAATAAAAACTGCTTAAAGATGCAAGAGCGCACTACATCATACCTCGCTAGCGTAACACTGATTGATGTTGTGGCAGAAACGGAAGGTGAGATAGGAAACTTGTCGATTTTTATCAATTTGTTACAAATAAAATGTCAAACAGAAAATCTCAGGGGGAAGACAATCCCAAGCAGCAAACCCAAAAACATCCAAGAGTGCCTTTTAGAACAAAGAGTATCAACAAGATAAGGAAGATAAAAAAGCTGCATCACTTTGGAGGCATTATGAAGTTTTGGCAAAATGTGACCAGACATCTTATTCTGTTGCCTACCAATGGGGATATCTCAGAGGACTGATCAGTCAATCTTATTTTTCTTTAACATTGATGTGGTTGGATCATAGCCTAAATGTGAAGCCAGTAGAGCTGGGCGGTGTGGCTAAAAATGTATCATGATTTAAGTGTTTTATATCAGTCTACCAAAGTTCGAGAGTGCTCAGAACCATTGTGTACCCATCATGCTCCATCATGTGAACTATTTCCTCCTGTTTGAATTTTAGCATTATAGTCCAGTTCTTCGCCAGTGTAAAGAGGGCCTAGTTTCCACACTTTTTACATTTTTTTAATCAACGCATGTTCTTTCTGACAGGAAGCCAACTTTCAATATTTCACACCAATTTAATGACTGAACAGGCACGCCTTTTTACTTTTACTTTGGTGAACACAGCAACAACCCAAATATTCTAACAAACAAAAAGTAACCCACTAGGAACCCTTTGATTGTCAGATACCTCTTGTTTAAGCGTAGCCAGCAGCATGTTGTAGGTGGAAGACGATGGAGTGGCTTGAGTTCTCTGTTTGACCACTTCTGTAGGAACTCGGATTGAACATGCCACCTGTAAGAGGGCAACAGGAAAACAAGGATATTTTGATGACTTACCTCAAATATTCATTTGCAAGTAATTGAAAGTTCTACAAGGCACCATTTCTGTGTCTTTTTGCTGAACATGATAAACCACTGTGTAAGCATTTAGAACATGGCAGGTGACCGTGATGCGGTATGAGAAGCGTGATTAAATGTAACAGGAAGAATTACAACTGCTGCAGTCCGCGTGCAACTCAGCCAATTAACAATCGGTTACACACGGCAGACATGACACAGGTGCAGTGGTTGTCATGTCTGCAAGAGGTCATCAGGCAGACTGTGTATCTGTGTCCAAAGAACATGCTTCTGTCAAACACAATGATAGATTTAGACATGGGTGCACACCTCAGTAACCACACTCTCTGCTCAAGTTCCAACCCATCCGCCATATGTCAACAAAAATATGGACTGCCAACAGCTAGTGAAGATAGACATGAATATTTATGCCTCCTAAAGGCAGACAGGCAGGCACAGCTGCCCACCTGGTGACTTGATTTCCCATTTATCCTGCATCAGAGTGGAAATACCAGCTAACGGCAAGCAATCCTACAGAGCGATTGGTGAGCCGCCCTCCCCCTGAGACGTGCAGATGCCTGTCTGCTGGTGCCACCCTCGCCCCTGCAATGTCTAGTGGAGAGGAATGAAAAGAGTGATGAAATGAAATGCATCCTTTTTTTCTCCCTCTGTTGCTCCTTCATATTTAGTAGCATCAGGGCCTCAGCAGAAGGCTTTGGCCATAAAGAAGAAAAGTAACAGCTGTTTGAAGAAGGGTTTTAGGTGGTTACTTGTACCTCCAGTTATTTCCACAGCCATGTGTGCATGTGGTACACAAATATCAGAAAGGATTTCATTCTAGCCACAAAAATAATTCAGTTCACTCCTGGTTTTGTTCACTTCTCAGCTTAGTGTTGACCTTCATTGCATCACTTTTTTGGCAGGGTGACGAACAATCTCTTGAAGTTCGACATAAAGTGAAGAGAAAAACCTCCATGTTTGTACATGAGCAAAAACAAATGCATTGATGGAGCTCTTACAAAGAATTCTGTGCAGTTCCTATTAGGTTTTTTGTAAGCGTATGAAACAGTGACAGTACGACTTATTCACGGTGCAACACTGCCACCCAGTGGCAAAACCTGTCTTAACATTACCTACCTGACTTTTTCATCACGACAAATTATATTAAACTCAGAAATCCTATTTGCCTTCCTCATTGGTCAAAGTACCATTTGTAATCCATTTTGTATTTATTTACCAAACCACTTCTCTGAAAAGGAACAACAATGGCTGTTTACAAAACAAAAGTGTCTACAACAAATAGTCACAATCATTTTCTTTCTCTTGAAGTTGAATTTGCCATTCATGAAGCTGGAGAACAATGAGAAAACAAATGTATTAGACTGTCTTGTTTATTTAGTTGTGATCTGCATGCCTAATAGCAATCAGGTAGTTAGCTAACTAGCTGGCTGGTTGGTTGGTTGGTTGGTTGGTTGGTTGGTTGGTTGGTTGGTTGGTTGGTTGGTTGGTTGGTTGGTTGGTTAGGRACATAAAATGTTGCTGAGGAACAGCAAATTCAAACAATATAGTTTATCGAAGTATATCAAAGGATTAAAGAACTGTATGTTTGGACCAAGATTTTGCCCTTTAAAAACTGTTGAAATGACCTCACCATTGCACACTAAGTTACAAGGTGGGCACATCTGTGGACAGAGCTGTGGACCCACTTTCTGTGATGAGGTGTTTTTTCACTTGGCAGACTGCATAAGAAATTAACCAGAATTTTACCCTACTTTTGAAAAAACAATGTTTTATTTACCAGGAAAATGGACGTACTTCGATTTTTATCTTTCAGAGCCTAATATATTAGTTTTGCATCAAGGCTTTAGAAGGTTTAAGGTACATTAAATAGAAAAAAAAATGTTACTATTAGGGAGAGAAAATGAATAACTTTACATTTGGATACCAATCCTTCAGTAAACTGGAGGATAGAAAGCATATTGATCAGATCTGAATCAGACCACAGAGACATTTTTTTCTTTTCAAAAGTTTCTGTATAATACTGTGTAAGAATATTAAACTGTTCTATTTAAGAACAGAGAACCAAAAATTCAATTTCATAAATCTGCCATTAAATATTCTGGTTTCTTAAAAGATCAGAATTGATTTTAGGCATTACAAATTAAAAGAAATGTATGAACAAAACAGGAAATGCTTTACATCCTTTAACAGCTGAACTGCTTCACTCTCAACACTTTCCTCTGCTTTGTCAGTTTATTATGAATCTACTGGAAGTCTTCAATTATTTTTCTTTTTTATATTTATGCACAAATTCTGAACTCATAAGGAAGCCTTCATTAGGAGCCTCCTACAAAAAGCTAGTTTGCCACTGCCTGTTGTTATTAATGACAGAGTCAATTTCCAGTTTCAGGACTAGCAAACAACTAGTTAATGAGCCGTCAATCAGTGAGTCACAGGAAGGAATAGGAAATGAGCAGACTCACAGCACATTATCAGAGTAAACTAATAAATCAATCTACAGACGGACTCATTAAATCCCTCATGCTTTTTATTTGACCGTCCTTTCAGCGAACGACTCAGAACACAATAAAACCAGATCTGTTTTGAACTTTCCTTTAAAGGATCTTTGTCTTCATCATACGGCAATTACCTTAAAAACCATTTAAAACTGCTGCTGTCACACATGTAAAGAAAGTGCCAGAACAAAATTGGAACAAAATTGACCTCTAATCCTTGGTGCTCAAAGTAACAGCAGGGGAAAAAATGGTAAAATGAGGGAAGAAGCAGGCAGTACGAGAGAGAAAAAGGTCAAGAAGAAGAAGGGATAAGATGAGGGCACAGCAAGTCTCCAACTCTGAAACAACAGCCAATAAATCACAGAGCATGGAGCTGCTCAAAGGCGATGCATGGATTATTTCTCAGCGCCAAGTTAAGTGGTTGCCAGTCCCTCCCCACCACCACCACCACCACCCCCCATAAAAACTTCTCCTCTGTGCTGCCTCCTCCTCGCTGTCCCCTATCTTGTCATGTCACACTGTATTTTGCCGAACATCCTCCCGCAGACAAGCGGTGGTGAAAAAAAAAAGGGGGGGGGGGGGGGGGTCTGCAGATGGGAGAAAAAGCCTGCTGCCTGGCCTTGACAAATGAGCTTTCAGGGCAGACGTCGAGCGAATGGGAATGAAGATAAATCTGATCTAATGGCTAGATAACAGCCTGCAAGAGGCTGACAGTCGCCATCAGCTTACACATTCTTTATAAGAGTGTCCCACATCTGCAGTCGCACCATCACCGGGACGCTTCTGGAAGGAGGAAGCGTTTCTTTCATTGTCCCCGGCCATCGCAACTTCTTTCTCTCTACACTGTGACTGTCATCAGCTCTGTTTCTGTCTGGCTTTTGTTTACACATGAGGTCATGCACTGATGAGGAACTGGATCAGATCATTGCAGTCTTAGAAAAAAAACTTACGATTAACAATCCTCCCTTTTAAATTAGGTTCTTATAAGTTATAATGCGAGCACTCAAATGGCTTTGACCTGTTGGAGTGTAGTGACAACACCAACTTTTACTATTTTAATTTTTGATTATGACTTTTTTCTTACACACAAAAGTAATAAACTAAGTTGTTGTAACGTTGTTTTATTTTACCTCAGTGTTCATCAGAGCTGGACTCAAACTTTGCAGCACCTGCTGTCTTGAAAAGACATTTAAAACCTAACAAATGTGTGTTTGTAGAGTATTTGGCTTGACAATGACATTTATAACCTCAGCTAAAATCTATTTACTTAATTTGTTGACTATTGCAACATTTTATGGCTCCACTTCACTGGACAGAGTCCATTGGGCAATTGTTGAGCAACTAAAATTGGCCCGATCACTCAGCTGTCTTTAAACTTCACAAAAACATTGTTTCTGTGGAAATGCTCTGGAGATTCTTGAGTACTCACTAATGGACCAAAAATTGCTATTTCTGCATTTTCCATGGAGCTTTACAGACATCTGAGTGAACAAGAGAAACTACTCTTGAAGAAGAAACATCTCCTTAATGTGAATAATCCAAAAGAAACAAAAGACAAAGTACTTGTCTAAAACCAGAAGGCCATAGCTTTCATCAGGAGGAGGGGGCAGAAGACAGATACCAAAGGTTGTGGCGACCAAGGCCAAAGATCATTGTGAAATCACTGGAAGACAATAGAGATCATTGAGCACTCACCAAAAAAGGGTTGCAAGATCCGGAAAAGGTTTTGGACACTCACGTGTCTCAATGGTTTCATTTCAGTAGAAAGCAGATATTAAGTGTGGTGTAAAACCCTAAACACACAATACGAGGAAGACGTTTTGTTTTTGCAGTAAAAAAGGGTAAAATTTAAAATTCACAGGTTATGTAGTTACCTGTTACAAAGCAGCTTGTGTCACCAGCTGGTGAATGTATAAACATCTACCAGCTCACATGTTGATTTGTGGTTCCTTATTTGCAAGAAACAACAAATGAGGTTTTGCAATGTTTTAGATAGTTTGGCTCCCTTCCTTCTGACTAAAGCGATGCATTATTATTTTGAACTTTACTCTGGATAGAGAGTGTGTTAAAGTAACAATAAACTAAAGAGTGCTCCTACCTTTAATCCAGTACACATACATAATGGCAAAGGGTTAGGAAATTATTTGATTTGCAAGGAGTTAACACATTTAGAAAGATTATTATTATTGTGACATCGTGAGTAGAGTGTTAGTGTTGTTTGGTAATTGCTGGAGCATCTGACAGTGAGTCAAAGCAGTGAGTGAAGGTCAGCAGACACAGAAGACACTCTGTAGTAGCATCAGACAGCACTAACAGCACTTGACAGTCTGGTTGGCTCTGTGGTTTGAAAGGATGCATAGTTGTATTGTGCAATTGTTCATTATATGTTTCGGCGGCTCGATGTTGGAACCAATGGATACAAGAAGGCACCTAAACACATTATGAAGATTCTGACCATTGAAGATAAAGCCCACCAAGGAAGAATCCTGGAACTGTGCCCTGAGCATTACAAAGTTTAATAAAATCTACAACTGCTAGCTGAAAACCCCACGCTGGACTATGGCTGTGTCCAAATTTAGGGGCTGGGTCCTCTGAAGGCCAAATCTGTCGGCCGCTTACATCACAGCGCAGTGCAGGAGGCTGTCTAAATTCGAATACTCCTCCAATGCGGCCCACATACAGGGGTTAGACACCTGGTTTTAGACCATAACATCCTTTCAGACAGCTTCCTSTTGCGTCCACAGTTAATCCTGTTGGATGTGGTTCTCAGTGGTATGCTGATATTCCCCTGGATACTGTGGCTCTTGGTACATCAACAAAGACTTGCTGTCTTGGTCACAGATGCTCCAGTAAGACGTGCACCAACAATTTGTCCTTTTTTGAACTCTGGTATGTCACCCATAATGTTGTGTGCATTGCAATATTTTGAGCAAAACAGTGCTCTTACCCTGCTAATTGAACCTCCACACTCTGCTCTTACTGGTGCAATGTGCAATTAATGAAGACTGGCCACCAGGCTGGTCCAATTTAACCATGAAACCTCCCACACTAACATGACAGGTGTTTCACTTTCATTGTCTAACCCCTGTATGTGTCCTCCTTTTTCTCCCAATTTGAGGGACAGGTCAAATGGATCCGTTTTTTTAAATATTATTCTTGTCAGAAAAATAAGCGTGCACACACATCAGGTTCGTTAGTTCTTCAAATATTGCCTTTAAGCTTAATTTGCTGTTTTATGATATTAATAATACTAATATCTAGATATTTTGCTAATTTCGATCTACTTTTGCTTCTGTTTAGCATTGACATGACTGCAAGGTGACAGGACATATGTCGAGGTATGGGCGGGAATAAGGCAGAAAGCTAGACCATCCAAAATTACAGCCACTTTTTCCAGTCTTTGCGGTTGACCAAGGACCAGGTAGGCCAGGTCCTTCGCAGGACCCAGCCCCTGAATTTGGACACAGCCTGTAAATGGCATTAGCCAGACAACAGGTTCATCGTCCCACATATAGATTATTACCACCAGAGCTGAGGATGACTGTCCAGGCTAACCAATAAGTACATGACTGTTTGACTTGTGTTCAGAGAAAAACTTTGAGGCAGTGTCAAAATGCTGCTTTCTTACCTGTCACCAGCTGACACAACTTTTTAATTAATCAATTATTGACTTAATCTGATTTATTTTAAATACATTTAGTTATTGTTAAAGTACTACAATTCCGCAGCCTACCAAGCTCAAGTTGCTGCCACTTTTGCTAAACCCTCAGAAAACTAACTTTTAATTCAAATTCAAAGAAGAGACCGAAGACGAAACACAGCCGTTACATCACCGCGCAGGTGTTTAGACCTTTCATATGACTCGGGGCAATGCTAAGGTTAGCCTTTCATGGTTAAGCCCGAAGATTAGGACTCTCAAGATGAATTCAGCTGCCCGAATGCAGCGGGATAGCGCCCCTGCTTTGCTCTGCTCCACTCGGTGGATTTGTGCCTTTGATGTGTTCAAATCCAGCATGGGGTTAAAGCCAGTGGCAACCCTCTGCCTCACCTTTCACATTCAGCTCACCTTTGCCGCAGACGGAAGCTGCAAAATTTAACCAGCTGTTACTTTTTTTTACACTCGTGCAGCAGCTGAAGTAACTGATTGTGACAACAGATAAACTGTGCTAATCTGAGAGCAGCATGTTGTCGAAGTCCAATAAATCCAAGTCCATTTCACGAACATGTAAAACTTGGCAAAATTACCTCCATCGAAAAGCCATGAATACAGACCAAGTGTTTTGCAGACACCCTGGGTTAAAACCCTGATCTCCATACCTCCTTCATGCCTACATGAATACCAGCAGGCCCCCCCATACGGCTCAGATGCTGCAGCTCACTTCCAGCTGACTAGGAGAGGATAGGCCCAGGAAATTGTGCCGCTCCTCAACGGTTGGAATCCTCCAGACTAAATTGGCAGAGTCCGAGTGTCTGCGCTGGGAAAGCAGATGAGTCAATAGGCAGTAATGAGATCTTATTTACCCAGCTGGTGGGGAAAATACCGGAACAATCTCGAGGAAGCCCCCTCAACTCGCCCAGCTGGGCCCGTGAGGCACATCAGCCAACCCCCGCCCCTTGTCCCCTGGTACCCGCGTTAATAGCGTCTGTGAAATTTAAAGAGGATAGCATTAGCACGCACGCCAGTGGTGCTCATTTGGGACAAACAGTGGTGGGAAAGAAACAGAGACAGTAAGATGGAAGAGGAAAAACAAGCGCAGCAGCTGGCTTTCTAAAGATGGAAGAACTAAGAATGAGAAAAGCCAACACAAAAATAACACAAAGCGAAGAAAAACGGGAATATATTAAGTCCAGATGAGCGGCTGTAAAAATAAACATAAATAAATAAAACAGGATGAGGACTTACGATTTCTCCCAAGGAGGCGGCGAGCATGTGAGTGACCGGTGCCACGTGCGGCACTGCGAGCGCTCCACCGGCGCAGAGAAGAGACTTGGTGCACTCGTAGGTGACAAAGAAGGCAGCAGCTGAAACCGAGCAGAACCGCAGACATTTAGGGGTCATTAGTCAACTAGCATGGAGCAATTAATATCCCTCCCCATCACTGACAGGGGACACACAGAACGTGTGTGAATTTCTGCACAATAAATTCAAACGCTCAGAAAATTAGAGGACTTTCTTTCATGTGGAAAAACTAAACAATCGTAAAAAATAAGAAAAATAAATCCCAAATATGGCTCCAGTTTATTATCCTTTTCTTTTGAGAAACTAATGAGCAGCACTGAGATTTAATTACTGAATCTCATAAAACAGTTTAAACATTTATGGAAGTTCTGACAGAATGACCTAATAAATCATCAAATACATCCCTGCAACTACAGCAACCAGATGTCACATAACTTAATACTACTGAAATACTTACACCTTCTTTCATTCCATAACATTTAGACATGCTGCTTTCATTTTGAACCAAAATGAAGATATTGCTTCTTAATTAGTTTTACTAAAACATTTAATCCTCCAGTAAATATCAATCTTTGTGATTTGCTTTAAGAAAGCAGTGAAATCACTGTTGACCAGTCACAAACTACAACAAGTTTATTTTCTCTTTAGTTCCTGTGACATGCTGTCCCTACAAATACAAAAATTAGAGGAAAACATCTTAATATTTAAAAAAATTGGAATGCACATGATTTAACTGGCATATATTTTGTTTTAAACATCGGAGTGGTCAACGTGCAATAGGAAATGACAACAAAGGGGAACTCTTCAAAAAGGGGAACTCCTTGGTAGGGATGGGTGGTATTACAGAAAAAATTAATTGTCGCATTTATGGATGGCAGTTGCACTTAAATTATACATATAAATCACAAACTAACTTCATTTTAATAAGGTTAATATGGTAAGCTGTGAATAGAAACCCAACTTTCCACAATGTTGAGTGGTTGCAGATGTTTAGTAAGGAATGTACACCATGGATTCACAATGCACACTTTATAGTGAAAACACCTCATCACGTGGCACTAATTGCAGTAAAGGCAAAATGACAAACGCTTGTTGACAGCTTTTCTGATGATTAATTGCACATGTCTTTGTCTCTATCTATTTGCTACTGTCTGTGTTGTTTGTCATTGTAGTAATGCTCCGTTCACATGCAGGCGTTCATTTGTGGTCACTTCCTGTTGCTGCCCATACGAATATCACAACAACTTTTCATCTCAGCAGTGTTATTTTTGTTTTGCAATATGTTATGAATGTTATCTTTCAAATAATGCAATTGTATTTATGACGAAAATTTAATGTTAAGTTACACACACCTTTATGTAACTGAAAGTTAAATATTCAAAAAGAAATTTACATTGTGTGGATTGTTTTTAGATGTTAGTCTGTTTTTGATGTACACTGTGTGGGTTGTTCATAAATGTTTTTGTTTTGATTTAATAAAATTTGTATTTCCAATGAGTTTAATTTTATTTGTTTGTACCTCGTGGGATGCCACAGCCAAGATGGACTGGCCTTATAAAATCTGTCAGTAATTAGTTCTAACAATGAACGGCTGGAAAGCAGCTGACAGCAGGACTTGAAATGTTTGCTGTTAAAGAAACAAAGATCGTGTGCTTTGCATTCCCCTGGTGAAAGCAGCGAGGTACATTTTGTTTATTTCACTTGTATTATGAGCCCATGTTCTTATTTTAATGTCTGTATAAATGTTTTAAGTTTTCATGGTGATTGTGATGGTGATGACGGACAGTGATCATGGAGCACCAGATGAAAATAAAAGAGCTTAAAATCACGCATCGAGGCTACGCTGAACATTGTCAAGAACTGGGGGGCTGCTACAATTTAAAACAAAAACATTAAGTAAACAAAGGCCTATCATTGTTTGAAGGAATGCATCTCATTCCAGAGTTTTAAACTAAGACTGTCTTATCTTGTAAAATAGGTAAGTTTTAGCTTTTCAGGTCATATTTTTTATGATCAAACATGATATTATTGTAAGCACTTTGGGAATGACTCTCAGCTACTACTGATTTAAATAGTATAAACTCAATATACGTAAGTTACAGCCATGACTCTTTTTGCAATTAGCAATGGACGCCATCTTGAATTTGAGTGAAATTGGATCAAAATTGAATCAATTGTAGACGTCCATCCGAGTACTGTTATTACAGCTAAACAAACTCTACCTGTGATTCATCGGATCCAAACCAAAAGTTTGGTCTTTGTGTTCACAGGCAAACAGCTGATTTGTTTCCTTTCAATTTATGTTGCTTTTTTTCCTGATAGCACAAACCTAAACTTTATAACTAACAGGTGCACGTGTTGCCTGAAGATCATCAGAAATAAGATTTCACAACGATTGTCTTACCGGTGGGGAAGGATGCGACAGCAGCAGACGGGACCCCAGCATAGATGCCCCTGAAGCCCCCAGCCTTGTAGAAGCCCTGCTGACTCTGCAGTCTGGTCTTTACGGTGTCCAAGGGGAACAGGGTCAGATCCACACACATCCCCGCACAGCCACCAGCCTGCAAAGACACACACATTACTGAAATACACATTCTGTCACACCAACTAATTCCTTTATACTTAATGCTGAAAACGGGGCAAAAAAAAATGTAGAAATTTATTGAAACGAGTAAACATGTAAGTACAAGGTTCAGTAAATGCACCCTAATGTCCACTCACTAGCAGCTGAAGTTCAAAACTCTGTTTGAGGTGAGAGACACAACACATCAGAGAAACCTCCTTGCTCGTATTCATAATTTTATTGTTGTTTAACTATTAAACGATTAAGTTTAAATTCTAACTTTTTGATCTGGAAATATCTGTGTATACAGCTGGATGCTTCTTTGGTCTCCACAGCGAATTGTCTGCTTCCAGTTCTCCCAACATCCTCCTCACACAAACACACTCCAAATCCTTCTTCACTGCATCCATGACTCTCCTCCATGGTCTTCCTCATCCTCCTCCCTGGCAGCTCCTTATTCATATCCCCTATTCCTCCTCTGCAGGTCTTAACCACCTAAGCTGAGCTTTCCTGACTCAAAGGAACACAATATAATGACCTTTATGAACTTAAAACAATACAAACTTTGAACAATTAGCTAAATATCTCATTTCATGTGTGTTTTATTTTAAGCAGCAAACATCCAATTATAGTTGGGGACTCTGCCAATAAAACGTCAACACATTGTCAGTCGCTGCCACTGTTTAATGTTTTGTACTGGTACCAGAAAACACTGAGTGTACAATGTGTCCACACAGGTGAACTGTTTTCTGCCCCACAAGGTGGAACGCTTGTGTTTTACATTAAAAAAATATTATATACTTTAAATATCAAGACATTATATTTACTTTACGACTATGTTACAAACCGTACACCTAAAGTTTATCTCGTCGGATATGTTTTACACGTAAATGTGGTTCTTACTGCAGGAAATTTGATAAAAACTTGCGTTTTATTGTAAGCTGCTGATATATTTCATGCATAATTCACCGAACGAAGCGACCGTCTTACCACCAGAGACGCGACGAACTCTCGTGTGTCCATGTTCCGCTCACAGACGTTCAAAGACAGTCATGAGCCTGAAAATATGCAACTGTTCTGCGTGTGTGTCGTCTCACTGAAACCAAAACATGCCTGTCAAGGACGCTGCCATATTGGCTGAATCACTTCCGCGTGACGTCATGACGCAAAGTCTTGGCTGAATAACTTCCGCGCGACGTCATGACGCAAAGAAGTGTTTCGCAGAGCTCTCTCTCTCTCTCTCTCTCTCTCTCTCTCTCTCTCTCTCTCTCTCTCTCTCTCTCTC